AAACATCTCGAGCGCAGCAGCCTTGGTCTTCTCATCACCAGAGGCGGCCGCACTGCCGAACATGAGCGACTTGAATTGCTGCTCAATGTGGCCGTCCGTCTCCTTGAATGTCCAGCCAAGCTTGTGTGCGACCTTTGAGACAAGATCGCGCTGGAAGGCCTTGAGGGCGTCCTTGACCTTGTCGTCTTCGAACGTCCAGGCTGCGCGGACGGTACCGATTCTGGAGATTAATTCATCCCACACGACAAAGTCTGGTTCAGTGTCGAAGCCCTTGAGGAGTGAGAGGAGGCCATCGGTCTTTTGGTAACCAGCAGCGGCGAGGGCGCCTGCATCAGCAATCATGCCTGCGCGGTCCTCAACGGTGAGGAGACCTGCCTTGGCATTCTGACCGAGCTTCTGCAGGCGTTCTGGGCTGTAGGAAGTACGGTAGATGCCAGAGTGATCTGCGTTGAGCTTGTAGAAATCAAGATCGGGGACTTTAAAGCTCTGCTCACGCTTGTTAAGTGTGAGCTCCTCATCGACACCGTCCTTGGTTCGCAGGCCGAGGAAGACGGGGAAAAGAGTCTGGTCCTCTTCTGGCTTGACGTCGGCGGTTCTCAGGAAGCGGTTCTGCTTTACATGAATCTCGTTGGCCTTTGCGTCCTCTGTGACGGTCACGACTGGGAAGCCAATATTCTTGGTCCAAATGTCAGCGATGCGCTCAACATCCTTGCCGCTGGCATCGCTGAGTGAAGCCCACAGATCCCCGGTGGTAGTGTTGCCATATGCGTGCTTCTTGAGGTACTGACGGATACCCTCCATGAAGATGTCCTCACCGAGATACTTGGAGATCATGCGAAGGACACWTGAACCCTTGGAGTAAGAGATGGCATCGAAAATCTGGTTGATCTCGTCCGCACGCTTGACAGGAACCTCGATTGGGTGCGAGCTGCGGAGGGAGTCCAGACCAAGAGCAGACTGCAGGTTGTCGGTGACATAGCCCTCCCAAACCTTCCACTCGGGGTAGAAGATGTTGCAAGAGTACCAGGACATCCATGTCGCGAAACCCTCGTTGAGCCAGAGTCCATCCCAAAAGTCCATAGTAACCAGGTTGCCGAACCATTGGTGGGCAAGCTCGTGCTGCACAACCTCGGCGACACGCTGCTTGGTTGATGCGCTGACGTTCTTCTCGTCCAGGAGCAAATCGACAACGCGGTAGGTCACCAGACCCCAGTTCTCCATGGCACCAGCCGAGAAATCAGGAATAGCAACCATGTCCATCTTCGGTAGGGGGAAATCGCTAGCGAATTGCTTCTCGTAGAACTCCAATGTCTTGGCAGCAAGCTCAGCAGAGAAGTGACCGTGGTTGATGTCCTTGTCTGGTGTGCAAAAGACTCGTACAGGAATGCGGAAAGTGTTCGTCTCGTGTACCTTGAGCTCGCCAACGATGAAAGCAAGGAGGTATGTGGACATCAACGGCGTCTTGTTGAAGGTCACAGCCTTGCGCTTCTTGCCCGTAACTGCGGAATCCACCTGCTTCTCACTGGCCACGTCCATGTTGCTCAAGCAAGTCATCTTGTCGTCGGCGATGAGAGTGACGGTGAAGGTGGCCTTCAATGCTGGCTCGTCGAAACATGGGAAAGCTCTACGGCAGTCGGTGGGCTCCATCTGTGTGGTTGCAATGTAGGCATCCTCGCCGTTCTCAAGCTTGTATGAGGAACGGTAGAAGCCGGCCATGTTGTCATTGAGTGTACCCACGAACTTGTGTGTCAGGGTAGCCTTGCTGCCGGCGGGAATGGTCTGGTCGAATGCGATCTTGGTGGTTTGCGAGTCGTCATCATGGGTGATCTTGGGCGATGAGGAGATCACACTAGAGCCAGATGTGATCTTGGTCTCCTTGATATCAATGTCGAGCGAATTGACGGATATCGATGTAGTGTCCTCGACGACGTCCAGCTCGATCTCGACCGTACCATCATACTTGAACGTCTCGAAGTTGGGCTCGAGGGTTAKGTTGTAGTGCAATGGCTTGACATTTTTTGGCAGAACCTCACGACCTTTGCTGATATCCATGTTGGCATCTGCCACGTCCGCATCGCGGTGACCCCGACACATGGCTGCGCGGCGGTGAGAGCAATGTCTTGTGGCGGCGTAAGGGAGTCGTTTGGAGGGTGCGAAGGGTGAGGATCGTGCGGTCGGAGTGCGTAGTCGTGCGGCAGCTTCTAATGTGTAGGACCGCTGCTGATGGCGGTTAAAGGCGGTCGGAGTGGTGGTGGTGAGTCTTCGTCTGATCTCGTGTTTCTGGTACTGCACGATCGATCGTGCCCCTCCTCCCGCTGTCCCGCATCGCAGCTGTGCTTGCACCAGCGCAAGGGTCCCACTGCCCGCCGCCGCAAGTGAATGAAGAGGACGCATCTAAGCTCCTCACGGCATGCGAAGGGATATTTACAGGAATTGCGAATGCGCGTCGTGTCTCACGGCAATGCGCCAGCGAAACAAGCGTCCGGGCGTTGACGTGGACGAACTTCGAAGCTTCTTGGGCCGAGCTTTCACATGTTCGGACTGATCATATCATCATGCCAGGAACACACAAAATGCTTGTCACATACGCCTGAATAGCACGCGGAAACGATGCTGCTACGCACGCGAAGGTCTGAACATATCGGACCCGTGATCTAACATCGCTTGATTGTGAGGTTAGTACCAAGTAGAGTTCATGTGAGTTATATCAATGGCAAGTAGCTGAACCAAGCAATCTTTCTACAATGCCTATCTGCATTTCGGAGATTAACCATCTACAGTCTGGCGCCCATATCACGTTCTACACACACATGCCAGACATAACAAAGACTGATCTCACGAATTGCCAAGGCTCGGCATACCTTCCTGTCAACATCCATTGCATGAAAATTTCCATCTCCAACGTTTCCTCTCTTTCTCACCAACAAGCTTCCAACCTCGATGAGCAATTCGACAGCCCCATCAGATGATCTATACATGGCATCGCCGGGCTGTTAGACGTAATAAAATTCCCTTCACAACCGCAAGATCAGTCCTCTCGGCAATGTCTCCTACTCGCGAGCTTGCTGGACGTTTACGACGATACTTCGTCCCCTTGCAAGACCAAACTTCATTCATTGCGTTTGAGGGGATCATGATCTCAGTGATTGATACTCCATAAAGACTCTGGAACAAATTGAACTACTCCTGGCTAATAATGTTTCACAATGCTGTCAATTCATCACCTGGTGAACTCATCGTCGACTGCGGCCAGAAAGCCTGCAAAGTGATGACCCCGTAGGTGTAGACGGTTTGATCCAGACAAGTTTATACGAATTTACATCACCGTGAGGACGCTCCTTGAGAGAAGAGGTGAGGTCAAACTCTCAGTCGTGCCTTCCTCTTCGACTTTCAAGTTTTCATTCCACTTCACGTCTTGACGTACCTGTTCTCGACATCACAGCACACGACATGGAATCCTACAGGAGACCGCCTTCGACATCGCACTCAGCGCGATCGTCTACAAGGAGGACCACCTCGTACACCACTGGAACAGGATATCRGGAAAGCACGTCAAATCCGTTCTACACGACCAATGGATACACTACAGCGACTGGTTCGCGGCCTCGAACTGGACGTCCTAGCACCGGAAGACCTGGTACCGCCAGGCCACGGACTGGGCTCTCTACGCTGGGAGTCGAGAATCAGGAGATTGTGTGCGCCGTGAGTGAGAGTCGCGGCGTGTCTCCGTCAGTCGGTATGGCGTTCCTGAACTTGGACACGGGCGAGGCGGTCTTGAGCCAATTCAGCGACAGTCAGACATATGTCCGGACCATTCACAAGGTATGCCCACTTCGTTCTACTAATACTTTCATGCTCACATTGTTAGCTCTGCGTATTCAGCCCGACTGTTATTCTCGTGGTCTCGTCYTCGTCAAATCCAAAGTCGAAGCTGTATTCCATCTTGGAGGACAGCATCCAGGAAGATCTTGATAGTAACATCGCGCTCTTCGATCGTCGTTACTGGTCTGAGACTACCGGGCTTGAGTACATCCAGCAGCTGGCTTTCTCTCAAGACGTCAACACCATCAAGACTGCGGTGACTGGCAACTACTTCGCCGTCTGCTGCTTTGCCGCTGTCATGAAGTACACAGAACTTGCCAACAACAAGATGTTTCCCTTTCATTCGCTACGAATGAAGTATGAGCCATCAGAAGGTTCAATGATGATCGACCTCGCCACGATCAAGTCGCTGGAGCTGGTGCAAAACCTTCACAATGCCAAGTCGAAAGACTGTCTGTTCGGTCTACTGAACGAGACGCTCACTCCAATGGGCGCTCGTCTACTTCGAAGCAACATTCTCCAACCCATCACTAGTTCGGAGACATTGATCAAGCGCTTCGAAGCCGTGGAGGAGCTGAGCACTAAGGAAGAAATGTTCTTTGCTGTTCGACAGAACCTGAAACCATTCCTCGACGCTGACAAAACACTTACTCAACTCATCATGCTGCCGACCCAGAAAAGCTTGAAGGTCATTGAACAGTCAATCAATCATGTCATCGTACTGAAGCAATTTGTTGGCCTCGTCAAACCGGTGTTTGAAGCACTGACGGGGTCGCGCTCTGATATGCTCATCTCCATCCGAAGCATATGTGACTACGGGAATGTTGAGCCCGTCCAGGTCTTGATTGATCAGGTCATCAATGAGGGCACCGCATATGCTAAGCAGCCTTTGGATTATCGCAACCAGAGAACCTACGCTGTCAAGTCGGGTGTGAATGGCCTACTCGATGTGGCTCGACAAACATACAAAGAGGCCATGACAGACGCTCTTCAGCACATTGCAGAGCTAGGCGATGAGCATTCACTGCCACTTCAAACCAAATTCGACAATGTCCGGCATTTCTTCCTTCGTCTGAGGGTAGACGAGCTGGAAGACCGAAATCTTCCGCCCATCTTCATCAATGCATACCGAAAGAAGGATGTGATTGAATGCCAGACTCTCGATCTTATCAAACTCAACCAAAAAATCAGTGACGCTCACACGGAAGTTCTCCTGATGAGCGACAAATCTGTCGTACAGCTGATTGAGGATGTCCGAGAGCACATGTCGAGCCTCTTTCGCATCTGCGAGAGCGTCGCAATGCTGGATATGCTCACAGCATTTGCTCATGCTGTATCAAGTGAAGACTATGTTCGTCCGGTCTTGAGCGACACTCTTGCCATCCGCGCGGGGAGACACCCAATCCGCGAGAAGATCCACAACACCAAGTACATCCCCAATGATGTCTACGCCACACAGCAGACTCGTTTCCAGATCATCACAGGCTGCAACATGAGCGGGAAGAGCACGTACATTCGCTCTGTTGCGTTGATGACCATCATGGCRCAAATCGGATCCTTTGTGCCGGCTTCTTATGCAGCTTTCCCTATCATTCGGCAGCTATTCGCACGGATCTCTCTCGATGACAATATCGAAGCGAACGTTTCGAGTTTTGCGGCTGAGATGCGGGAGACGGCCTTTATAATGCACAACATCAATCGAGACAGTTTGGTGATAATTGACGAGCTGGGTCGCGGAACTAGTACTAGGGATGGTCTGRCGATTGCGCTCGCTATTGCGGAAGCCTTGGTCGAGAGCAGAGCATTGATCTGGTTCGCAACGCACTTTAGAGACCTCTCGAGAATCATGGCTGAGAGGAATGGTGTGATCAACTTGCACCTGGCAGTGGACATGAGTGGGCAGGATCGAATGGAAATGCTCTACCAAATCGCATCCGGTACTGTGCAGGAGAGACACTACGGTCTGAAGCTGGCACGAATTGTTCCGCTACCTCCGGATGTGATTCCTCATGCCGAGACCGTGGCCTATGCGCTTGAGAGGCAGGTTCGGAGGAAGCAGAAGCGTAGTCAGGGTATTGTATTGGCGAGGAGGAGAAAGTTGTTGCTGAATCTGAAGGAGCATCTACTTCAAGCCAGGGATGGGGGTAWGAATGATGAGGAATTGAAGATGTGGTTGAAAGATTTGCAGAGAGAGTTTGTGGYCAGGATGACTGCGTTGGAGGAAGAAGGACGGGCGGTTGAGGCTGGTGAGTTCGATGATGAAGATGAAGATGATGAAGATGATGAGGATGGAGAGGAGTATTCAATTGTCGATGGAAAGACTCGAGAAACCACCGAAACGGCTTCAAGCACCAGGAACGGACAGCGTCCTGAACGCATGCAGAGGGATGTAAGCCATCGAAAGCCAACACCGCCTATTTGGAGGGATGCGAATGGCATTGAGATTGTCGATGCCACTGAGATGGATGAATCTCCGTTCACTCGCATGTCTGCCGGCAGTGTTTTGCAGTCCAAGGACGTCGTTTCGTCTCGGAGAAATTGACCAGGCCTAGCTCGAAGCCTGCCCGGCGGATAGAGAGTTACTCGCTTTGCTGGAGGTCATGTAAGGTTCTACCCCGGGGTACTCTTAGAATAGATGACTCTCTACTTCTTCAATATCGCCTTCACGGCCTCTACCTGCTCCTTCCGTACTCCGCACTCGCCCTCCAAGTAGTGGTCAATACCACCCCACTCCCTCTCAATCTCAGTTGAAATCTCCCGCACCCAGTCTTCTKGACATCCCGCAAACTCTTCTGGTAGTCCAATACTACTAATCGCCTTCATCCTCTCTTCCAAATCACCCGACAAACCTGGCACTGAGAGTAAATAATCCCGCTTCATGTCCGGCGCTTCGACATGTAACAATTTAAGAACAAGCAACACTACCAAACCAGTCCGGTCCTTTCCTTGAGTACAATGGACCAACACTGGCCAGTTTTCCTCGTTGGATAGAATGTCAAAGACGCTTTTGATTTCTGCTTGGCAGAATTTCAGACTGTCCTTTGCTAGTCCTGTCAGACCCCTTTTCGCCATGACATTCTCGCCAATGATTTTGATGGCTTGAGTGCGGTAGCCTAAGCCGTAGAGGACAGCAAGTTTGGCTTGGTGATAGTAGGAAAGTGAGGAGAACATGGCGGAGGTGTAAGTTGAGCCATTGAAGTTGATTTCTACAGTTTTGTAGGATGCTCCGGAGGGTTGGGGGTTGTCGGAGAAGAATGGTGCGGCGTTTTCTGATGGCGTTAGGGAGTCTAGTATTGGGATGTCTGCCGGGAGGTTCTTTTCTTTCTTGGAAGGGGAGTTTTTGGTTTCTTGGCGGGAAAGGTGCTCGGAGTCTGTACGGAGGTCGATGATTGTTTTTATTTTGTAGGTTTCTTGGAGGAGTTGTTGGTCGTGCGGTGTTGCTTGGTCCGGATTTGCGCTTCGGTAGAGGAAGCCTGWTTTGATGAGGGGTGATGTGAGGGATTTGGAGACATCGCGGAAGTTGGCAATCTTCTCAAAGCCAGAGGGAGATTGTGGATTGTTGGTGGAGGTGGTCATGGTGGTGAACTGCGATGAAGGATCTGATTGATTTTTGCTGGTGATAGATGGGGAGGAGGGTGAAGTGACAAAGCAGAAATGACAGGAAAAGCTGGAAGTTGGAAATGCAAAGTGGATCGGTTTGATCGTGCGGTCACTGCATGGATTGAAGCAGTAGAATCACTCCAAAGTCATCCAATGTACAGGTAGTATTTTCGCGCACCCTTCGGCCCTACCTGCATTCCTACAGCAAGAACAACAAGAAGTGGCATGTGTTCATCCTCCGTCGGCGCACAACCGAGTGCATGGGGCCTGGCCGGGTGGATCCGCCGACGCATTGATGAAAGGATCCACATTGGATCTATTGATCCTGGTCGCCGAGGTGACCAGAGCTTCATCTTCTTCGTCGCGAGCATGGACAGTGTTCCATCTCCCTTAGGCTCTATTGGAGCTGCCATATATCCTATGGTTGTAGATGTAGAACRATATGTATGCCACGAATCGCCAGTGCCATGTAATTCTCTCCGATTCGTTGTCGGCATCAAGACGATTCCGGAGCACATTGAATCGTCATCGACAATGACGTAGCTTAGCTCCTTCCCTCCTGGTGAGCGTTTGGAGTCGGCGTCGTCGCTCGAACTCAAATCGCCAACTAACCAGCTCGTACCATCATCTCCCTCGCCGCTGCCTTGTTTATACAGCGCAGAGCACCTCCATACCACCTGTTTCACCCATCAACCGCAACGTTACCGCTGTGAGGGAAAATCGCGAGGGCGAGGCATTACTATCTCAGCAATACCAAACGTCAACACCCTGGCCTTCTCCGCACTCTCCACATAAACACCGCACGAATGGCGGCCGACACAGCCAGCAATAGCGGCTCTGTGGTGCCCTGTCCTGATCCCTCAGCACATCAGCACGACAAGGGCCATGATCTGTCCAATGCCGCATCCACAGCAGCATTGTATGCGACGAGTCATGGAAAGCATGGCGAGTCAAAGGAGGAAGAGCCGCGAAAGAAGGACGTGCTAGACGCGGATGGCAAGCTGTCAGCGAGCAGTCAGTATTACCACAATCATAACAAGAGATCACATCTGACGATTGTACAGGCGCCGCAACATCGCTCAAGTACGCCAAAGCACAAGATCTCCCCAGCTTCCCTACCACGGGCATTGCTGCGGGCTCAGCCAGTAAGGCGGCCCTTCTCGCCAAAGACTACAAGATGCAGGATCTCTGGGAGGCTTCCGCCAGTAAGGACGGTCACTCGGCGGCTACATTGGCTATGCGCAGCAAGGGCCTTGGACCTGAGATCTACCAGGGCAGCTCAGCCGAGCAGAAGAGTAAAGCACTGCTGGCTGCGACCATGTCCGTGAACAAGGGCCGACAACGCGCTGGCTCCAGCCCGGTGCCTGCACAACCAGCATACCCTGATTCTCAGAATGCGGTAGCCAATGCATTGAGCGCCGCAACCGCTTCTCACCGCACCTCCACCATGAAAAGCAACGACGGCTGGAACTCTCAAGCGAATCAGGCAGCGCGAATTGTCAACAGCAAGGTCGATCGCGGCATGTACACGAGCAACATTCACTTTGAGAGTGAGGATGACAGGCATCAAGCTGCGTTGAAGGCATCCGCAATGACCATGGCCAAGTCGCTTTACGCGAACCAGAACCGAGACGCTATGCTGGCGGATCCAGATGGTGGTGCTGGTGAGGGTGCGGGCCTTGCCATGTCCCGAAACCAGGCATCAGCGACCTCGCCTGATATCAAGGTCGAGGCTATGCGGTACATCCAAATTCAGGAGGCTGCACGCAAGCTTGCTGCCGAGCGACTGGCCAAGATTGACAAGGATGGCGAGGCAGCCCGATTCCGTGAGTACTACGGGTATGGGAATGAAGAGAAGCCTAAGCGACTGTCTCGCATGTCTATGCGCAGCAGTGGTGGCAGATCAGGACGCAGACGGGCGGCAAGCGAAGGCGCAGACTCTCTCGACTCCGACGACGAGGAGCAGGCCGCCCGCATTCGCACGCAGATGTCTCAGCTTCACACCGGTGTCACCACTGTTGATGCCAAGAAGCAGCAGGCCGACCGTGCTCGTGTCATGGCTGCCGCTGAGAAGCGGGTATCGGCTCGTCTACATGACATGGACGAGCGTGTTTACGCAGACACGGGAAGAGTGTCACAATCCATGCAAGAGGAGTGGGAGGCCAAGGCTCGTCAGCGTGCGGAGAAGGAGAGAGAAGAGCGTGCCGAGCACCCGGGTAAGACGCACATTGGCGGCGGCAAATTCATGGACCAAGCCGAGATTGAGGCCATTGCCGCTGCACGACTCAAGCCGACGCTTGACGAGATTAGCGACAACGCTGAGAAGAGGCGGGCGAGAGACGAGGAGCTGCGGATCGAGAAGCAGCAGCAGGAGAAGGTGAAGATGGAGGAGACCATGCAGAAGCAGCAGCTGAAGGAAGAGTTTAAGAAGATCAAAGGTGTGTAGAGGCGGTCCGATGAAGGTGTACGTTGCTGACCTGTGCTAGATGCGGACAAAGCCGTTGCCCAGAAGGAGAAGGAGGAAGCAAAAGCTCGCAAGGAGGAGGAGAAGCGCCTTGCAAAGGAGGAGAAACGCAAGAGCCGCGGTGATGCCATCGTTGTTGGTACTGCTGGCGACGACGACGACGAGTTGGACGCCACAGATAATGATGTTGAGAGACACCGATCTGTCTTTGCTAGACTCAAGAACAGATTCAGCAAGAGTGGTGCGCCTGGCGAGCTTGYCACCGAGCAGGCCGAGGACACTACCAAGGTGACTGAGCCGACCACGACGACGACGGCCACAACTCCACCAACTACTACCGACAACACTGGCAACGTGGCTGGCGTCGCCGCTGGCGCCACCATTGCCGAGGTGGTACACTCGGATGAGAAGACCAAGGAGTCTGACCCAGAGAAAATTGACAATGGTCTTTCCAGAGACGATACTCCACCTCCGATGCCCATCTCTCCAGTAACCATCCGTGAGACTGAGCCCAAGCCTCGCGCGTCTTCGGAAGTCAGTGACAGCAAATGGAAGCCCGTGTCGGTTTCATCCACTGCTGCCGCCGAGGATATAATCCTCGGTGATGCCCCTGCGATCGCCGTCGTGGACACCCCCGAGGAGCAGCCTCTCCGCCCGCTGTTTGAGCAGAAGCCAAGTCTCCACGGACTTCACAACGACGAAGCGGACGAAACCGGCACCCGTTATTCGGCACTCGAACGCCACATATCGCAGATTCCAGAGAGTGATGATGACGATGAAACTGCTACTCTGGACGCCCAGAGTAAGCATGTCGGCAGTCTTGGAACCGAGAATGCTCAGATAGTTGCCAACAGGGTCACCACGTCGCCGGTGACAGATGATCCTGCCGCCACGGCCAAGGCCCCTTTGCCAACGTCTGCCTTGACGGATGAGACCCTTTCGCGTCTGGACGAACAGCGTGCAGAGGCACCCAAGGATGTGACGAGCACCGCTACCACCGCACCCGTAGCAGCGTCTGCTGTTGCGACCAGCAGCACCGCAGTCCCATCCTCCTCCAGCGAGCAACCCGAGAAGAAGGAGAAGGGTGTTCGTGGACTCTTGAACAAGCTGCGTCAGCGCAGAGGCGACTCGGAGACTAGCGCGGTGTCAACAAAGTCCACTACCGATGCATCTGGCCTGCCTGATGGAGCTGGTGCCCTCACCATTCCCCCCGCTGGCATCAAGTCCACTTCAAAGTCACCCGGTATTCCCGAAGCCGCCGGAGCCCGTACCATCCCTCCAGTAGATGTTGGTCCTCGATTCTCCAAGGCTGACGTCGACTCTTCAGATGACGAGGAAGGCCGCGGTAGGGCTCGCAGCACCAAAAAGTTGCAGAAGAAGATGGGATTCGGCAACTCTCGCACCACCACTCCAAAGGCTGGAGACAAGGCTGGAGATAARGCTGGAGAAGAGCCCGGTCGTGACTCGATCGCTACGACTGATAATGAGACGTTTGAAGAGGCCAGGGACCATTTCGACGAGAGTCTTGCACCGCCTCCCGCTTTTGGTGGACAGGCGAAGACGGCCGAAGGTGGAAGCCCGAGTCGCGGGACAAAATTCCAAGAGGAGTTGTGACGTAGGGGGGATTGGATGTGTTGGATTTGATGTGTTGGGAAGGAATAATGCGTTATACCACTTTTGCTTTTTTTCGCTTTTGCTTTTTGGTGGATTGACAGAACATGTAGGGAAATTGACAGATGTGGTAATATGGAATGTATATGAGGGCGATGTAATGGATGGTTATGTTATGAGATTTTTGAAAACGTAATGTGAGTGTTGGTCGTCGCCGTTGTTATTCTTGAACTCGAAGATCACCTTGGATGACTTCTGGTTTGGTAAGGTAGCTCTTGGTAGTGGCTACCTCTGATAACGCTGAGGAGATCGGATCTTTTGAGCGATACTTGAAGGAGTTCTGTTTGACTGCTAGATGGGATTGAGTTTCTTGGGGAGGGWGCCACTCTTCGCTTCACTTCACTTTCTCGCACCTCATACACCCCTTCCCTCTTATCGCAGCCACTTAAGACGCAACAGCCGCTTCTGGAAATCGCTGTGTGCGCGGCGCCTTCTAGATGGCGAGTGCAACGAAAGGCTCTCCGATCTGATCGAGGATCATGCATCGGTGGAGGTTCCCAGCGGCCTAAATCATCATCATCACGTCGAGACAATATCGCTCAGAGAGAGGAGAGGGACGGATCTTGACAGCCTTTGCGACGTCTAAATCGGTCGCCTGAAGACCCCGTTCCCTGAAGCGGCGTCGTCTTATAGTATCGAAGGGTTCGTATCAGGGTGAGAATCAGTCTTCCGAGATTCCGCTTTGGCCGTGGCACAGACGCTTCAAGCGCGTCATGAGGAAGTCGTCGTATACAAGCTACGCTGTATGAAGGTATGCTCATGATGTCTTGAATCATCCGATTGTCGAAGACTGCTTTGCTCAAGCCTGTCTCTACTACGTGTTGAACCTCCTCCGGAGTGTAGTCCCTAGCGGGTTTGGTAGAGGTTACAAGAAAGCGGAGAAGATAATTGATCACCTCTAGGTCTTGATCACCAGAGCTGTCGATATGAGGATTCTCCATCGAGAAAAGACATCCTTGGTCGTCTTTATTACGTCGTGAGGCCTTGCTCTCTGCAGAATCGATAATTCTGGAGCTGCTAGAACCTTTACTACTAGCAGAGTAGCCCGTTATATAACGGAGAGGTCAGTTGGGGGCGCTGTTTCGTTGATGATTTCCACATATCGACAGATCAATGATCACTGGGTTCAGTAGTGGAAGCGTGGCTACCAAGGCCCCAGGCCTTTACCGTCTTCCTCGTAGGGTAATCCTTGACCGACGTCGCTTCATGTCGAAAGTGGAGCCAGAGAGGAGAGCACATCCATTCGGGTAGAGGTGACTGTCTCTTATTTTTGCTATTATCTGCAACGAGACCAGTTCGACCGGAGTACCAAGTAGCTCGTCGCATAATCTGCGGACATTAGCAATACTTGAAATCTTTGTTGTATCCTCGAATCTACCGAAAGATATTTCGATTGGCGATGGATYGATTAATAGCAAGTTGCCATACCGCACTTCACTCATTATAGTCAACAGAGCTGTCGATATGAGGATGGTTCACCAGGACAAGGCATCCTTAGTTATGTCCATAGTATCCCGAGGCCTCGTTCTCTACAGGCTCGATGATTTAAAGCCTGCTGGTATCCCTGCTACTGGCAGAGTGGCCGTTAATCAATCGAGAGAGCAGGGCGCTGCTCTTGTTGATGATTTCTCTTATCGACAGCTCTGGTAGTCAACCCGTTATCGTCTATGTAGGGCTCAGGATCCCGAATAGCGAGAGTCAGCTCAGTTGAAAGGGTAGTAACACTCGTTTCATTTGCTCTTAGACGTTGCAAGGCCTCCTGGTAGTATGACAAACAGCGTGAGACCGTTTAGGAGCTTGGTCTTGTGTAGCGTTGACCTTTCCTATGAGAGCGGAGCTTCCGGGGCGGGTCGACCCGGAGTCTTGGCGTGTAGGGTGCACTTCACCCCGAGTCGGACTTCACGTCTTTTATCATACGCGCTCTACCTGCCCTCGCGATCACTTACGTTCCTCCTATTAATCGTACACGAGTGCCGCAGCTGTATCCCGCCTTCGAACTCCCGACTGCACTTCATGGGATGGTTGTAATCAAGCACAGGAGGAGGCGCTGAACTTTGGATGATCCACGTTGAACAAGACACGCATAGCTACATACACTTATCTAGGCGCGGGGAACATGCGCAAACAAAGTGGTAAGCGTAGAATACATAGTCGGTCAACACCCGGCAGATCAATACTTTGAGTCGTGACGTTGTCCACACCGCGCACGCATCAAGACTGTGACTTCACTTTCCCTAGAATCCACATGCAAACGGCAAATTAAGGTTTGACCTCTTCACTGCCCACTGWCGACACCTCAAAACCACCTCTCATCTTACTTCTCGACATCTCTCATACCTCATCACTTCCCCCACTCCATACCATCTTGCTCGAACATTCCAGCAACCTCGCTCTATGCGGACGCCGCCAAAGCACACGCCTTCATTCGTCGACACCTTGAAGGAGCGCACAAACTCCGCGCGTGCGGCGCTACTCAAAGCACCTCGCCGGTGAGGTGAAGCCCTCTTCGTCGCACGGCGCCACTCACTCCCATCACCTGTCACGCGCGCACGCGCCTGACATACGTCTACAACGCGCACTTGACAATTGCCAACTGCCGCCTTGTCGCGGATCCATCTGAGCGATGGCGGACGCCGACGAACACCCACAGAGGCGCGACGCTCAAGAACCTTTGGCGAGTTCAATACCACAAAGCGGCGGGAAGGAACTCGGTAAAGCGAGAGGTGAACTTTCCGATGAGATGAAAGAGCGCCTGAGCGTATTTCGTCCTTTCTCAAACGGACTTCGCGTGGATGAAAAGCGGTGGCCGCGTGTGTTCGACATGATCCCGGAGTGGCCGAAATCGAAAGCGGCGATTGAGAGTCGCACTCCCAAAGATGACGCCTCCAGGACCAATGAGCAGGACACTCCGAAAGCGAAGCCCATACCCAAGATTACCACGCCAAAGAAAGGCACGAGGCGGATGTCCGTACGTATATCGAGGTTGATCTTGCCTTGCTGCTCCAAACTGACACGTCGAATAGAACAGGCACTWTGTCAATGAGAGCGCGGTCCCGATTCTATCCGATGAACAAAACGGCTACAAAAAGAGCCTAACATTCACTGCCGGGTACGCCAACGAGCCYGTGATGTATGCATACGCCGGGTTTACTGACCTTGCTGCTGGACGGCGCTGGCTGGTCTCACCACCTGCCCTCGTGGCGCTGGAAGCATACGTTGCCTCGGGAAATACACCAGCATTCCACAAAGCCATGGCAATTCACCGCTGTGAACACGAGGATTGGGTTAAGGACGGGCCAACTTTGGAGTGGGCGATGGAGGAATGGCCAGTCGAGACACAAGTCGATCGAGTACAAGCAGCAACAAGCTCCAAAGAGAATTCATTGTACATTCTTGCATTTCTGTTGTACTGGCTGCCAAAGGAAAGCGACCGGTTCTGCAGACTTTCCCTGGAAGAACAACACAAGGAGTATTCTGCTTTGCAGAAGAGGTATCCCTACCCGCTGCCAGTATGGGACGAGTTCGCGGGTGTCAGCCTGACCTCGCCCATCTGGAACCACCCCGACGACAAGATTCCGTTGGCGGAGAAGTCATCTCGAGTGTTTGCGCTGCTGCGCTTTCACTGGTCAAAGATCGGCAAAGGCGAGAAGGAAACGACGTTTGCACAAAAGTTCGGCCAGCTATGGGGTGTCGAGGGCAACTTCTCATCGGTCGAGATTGACAACCGCTCGAAACCGATCTGGATGCGTGAGCTACGTGTACTGAGCAGTGCAAGCTACGACAAGAAGCCCGAGCCAAAACTTCCATCTAAGCTGTCTCCTCGAAAGATCGTTCTCAGGTGGCCTTCATTCAAAGAACATGCACTGCAGCTTGGATTGAAGAGAGTAGACGAAGATGAGCGTGAAAAGCTCAAGCTTGATCGCGAGGAGTACGGAGAGCAGCTTAAGCTACCTCTTGAGTATCACCGTGATCCGCGGGATTACCCATCTGTTAAGATTTGGCGGGATCTTCTCCGACTCGATCTCAAGCTTGCAGACTTGAAGATGTCGATTGGCACTCTGGCACTTCACGATTTCGACGAAGACGGRGACCCAGAGCTGCGTTCTTTCTTTGCGCGCGATCGCACTCCTCGAGTGTCATGGTCCCAGTTTCTGGCGCTCCTTGAAGCTACTGATGACAAGCCATTGGATGTTTACCTATGCACAGACTATCAAGGAGGGAAATTCACAGGCGAGATGGAATGGGAAGGATCTCTGGAACCGTGGTTAGGTTACACCATATCCCCATTCTTAACTCAGGTGCTAACACTCTGCAGGTTGACTAAGCCGCATGGCTGATTAGTTCGATGTAAGGGAGAGGCTGGCAGGGCGGCATGTTCAGGCTATGGAACGACTTGAGCATCGACACTGAGCGGGCCAGTTTAGCTGGGGAGGTCGATTGATGAACATTATCTGGTCAAAAGTTTGGCTTCATTCTCATTAGAGTTACGTTCCCCACAGTGGGGCCTTTGACTATGCACGATAGCGCGAAGGAAGCTTAAAACATCTTCCACCCCCTTTCCACCTGCTTCGAATTAAGTGTCACGTATCAACGTTGATACGACGAAATCATGGTCAACGACTGGCGTAATTGAAGCTTGCCGGCTCTCCAAGCATTGAATCGACGACAACGCTCTTTAACGGGTAGGTATAAGCACAAAACGAAGCAGCCTTGCGGAGAGCCAAAAATTTCTAGTTTCTTGGTAAGGCAGTGATCTTCAATTCCACCCAGCCTTGAACATCAACACTGACAGCCTCCTTGACACAATGCCGCCTGAAGACTTGACAAGACAGGATCCGTGCGGCCAAATCTTGAAGAGCACTAGCATCGCAGCCATGTCGACTCCATTGTTGACCGACGACATGATCTTTGACAGCCTTTCCGTCAGTTTGACATCCTAAGCCTTGATCAGATGTTTAGGCTGCTGCATATACTTGATCGGGAATGAGAACGTCTGGTCTGTACAAAAGTCGGCAGCATAATTCACATGCCCCAAACATTAAGCTACAGCTAACAACATCAGGAAGGCTTTCTCTCTTTAGTGACAGCTCAAATCCTATAATCGCAGCGGCAATAGTGCGGTAGGGAAGTGCTCTCGAAGCTGATGGAGGGAATGAATGTAAACGTGCGGCATGAAGTCATTCTTCTCTGCCGGAACTCTAGACATGCTTCAAGCGGACCCTGAGGCTAAGCCTGATAGAGCAGACTCTGGACAACCAACGATGGACACGTCCCAAACGGATCGAATCTAGACAGGACTTCTTTAATTTGCTTGCGAACTACATGCAAGTGCAATCGAGCAATGAACTTGTTCAAGTTTTGTTCCTAATAGTGCTTCTAGGCGCAAAAGGAATGAATCTGAAGAGCTCCAAGTCAAACGTGTAGAAGACGCGAAGGGGCTCGACGGAATAAGGTATGAAAGAATATTTGACCCGCTAGACTGTGATGCCGAGGAAGATTGGCGAAGTTTCATCAGACAAGTGCTTGATCTTGAAATGTGAGGAAGAGAATCGCGTCAAATCGTGGAGCAGTTATAGAGGCTTGTCCACGACACCACCCAGGTACGACTAGACAGCTCAAGGCTAGATTTGTCGTATCTCATCTGTTGGGRACCCCGTATGCACCTCGCCGGATCATGGAGTAGTATACGCGCTACCGTGATCAAGTCCATCCCCTAAGAAGTATCAGTACAATAATCTTGTGGTCGATGCTCAGGCGGGTGCGGCCGACGGGCTCTAGGTTATCAGCGACGGCGTTGAAATCGAGATTGATAAGTGGAGTAAAGACGTCACAGCCAAAAAACCTGCCAAAAAACATGGAAGAAACGGCAGATTGTCCGCCGACAAAGGTGAAACGTATTACGAGACTAGCTTAGCGCCGAAGAAGAGATCAAGAGAGCCCGGTCGTCTAGCTTAGTTTGAGTACATTTACTTCACGGTTGAGTCTACACTTAACAAGCTAGCTCTACGCAAGGGCCGCATACGAAGGCCGATCTCGGAAATGGCCCAAGAAATGAATTGATTGAGTGAATACATCACCTCTACGTCTTCGTTCTAGTCGTATGTGTTACCAGTGTTGTGCATATATCTGGACAGGTACATGGCGTTTTATACGAATTCCAGGTCCGCCGTAGCATTGCATAAGATCCACGGTAGAGCTACCGACTGGCTAATGGTAGAGGGTGCCTTGCTGCTCTAGAATTGTGAAGCCTACAGAAGAGAAAGGCCTTTAGACAATACCAAGATGACCGAGGGTGGCTGATCTCGAATTCATGACAATGAAAAAGGTGGCATAACAGCTGGAGTTCGATCTTGGTGACTTCACTTAAGAGAATGTTCATACGACGAATTGAGGATGTGCGCTCCAGGCGACTAGAACTTATGAAGACAGTTCTTTGCGACAGAGGCTAAGGCACGCAAGTCTCACGCCTAGAGAGAAGACGTATCACACAGTAAGACCTACTATCTTCAGGCAAAGGAGCAGAGAGGTCCAATCGACGTTTCGCAAGCTTGTAGTAATGCTAGACAGCAATACTAGCGTACACTACGGCGGTATTCGACACTCGAAAACTCACAACGAGCTAAGAACTGCAAAGGAGGATGCGAATCCCGCCCCGCTCACTCTAGCTTTTTGTACGAATGATACAACGGAAATAATGTATACCTTCACTCAATCCAGAGTCAGAAAATGCTCGCACATCGAGCGCTTGGTGTAGAKCTCGGT